GAAGTCTCTTCAGTGCTATATAGAGCTTTGGATTGGGAGTTTCCGGAAACTACATTCATGTGTGTGTTTATTTAATTTGAGAGAGAGAGAGTGTGTGAGAGAGTGCTCTCAGTTGAGCGGGGGAGGGGCTGCGAGAGGATGAGAGAGAATCCCAAGCAGGTTCCATGCTGTCAGCGCAGAGCCCTACTCAAGGGTCTCATGAACACTGAAATCATGACCTGAGCCAAAATCAAGAATTGGTTGCCCAGCTGACCGAGCTACCCAGGCGCCCCTCAAAAGTGCATTCAAAACTATTAGTTGAACAGTAGCTGAATTCCACTGTGTAATTTGCAGTGATTTATTGACAAAGAAGTAGGTAAGGGAATCTAGAAGCCCAACGTATCTCTGGGTAGTAAGTGTACATGGTTAGGTTATACTTCTAGGTTATGGATTTGTTCCTTTTTCACACACAGCTTCTTACATAGTGGTCATTCGTGTGTTATTTCAGGGTCTTAAGCTTTGATTTTTTTTTTTTTTTTTGGACCTGGAAAAAAAAAAAACTAGTCTACAGATGTTAAGGTAGTAATAATTGTAGCCTACATTTGTATAATATTTTGTGGAGTTTTCAAACTTGATCTAATATTTCCCCACTTAGGTTAGAGACCAGGAAGGTAGAAAACTTACTTAAGGCTCCATGAACCAGGGAGTGGCACAGCCTGATCTAGAATGCAGGTATTTTTCTCATTTCCATGCTCTCTTTTTTTTTTTTTTAAAGCAGGATGACAAAAGTGGACAAAGAACTAAAAACTTGTGACTAAATCATTTTTCAAAACCTTGCATTTATTTATTTATTTAATGTTTATTTTTGAGAGAGAGAGAGAGAGTGTGAGCAAGGGAGGGGCAGAGAGAGAGGGAGATACAGAATCTAAAGCAGGTTCCAGGCTCTGAGCTGTCAGCATAGAGCCCAACGTGGGGCTCGAACCCACGAACTATGAGATCATGACCTGAGCCAAAGTCGGACGTTTAACCCACAGAGCCACCCAGGCACCCCTCAGAAGCTTTTAATTATGGAAATTTTCAAGCACAAAAGCAGAGAAAATAGTGAACTCTGATGTTCTCGTTATTTAAGTTTAGCAATTAGCCATTTACCAATTCTAATATTATTTACTTATCTTTATTTGGAGTTTTTTAAAGCAAAATTCTCGTTATTTTGTTTCACATTTATAATGTTGATTAATGCTGTATCAAAAATATTCTTACAAGAATCATTTGAAGTAAAATTAGTGGATAACCTGTAGGTAAAGCTGTCACAAGCCAGGTTTAACAATAATGATAGCTAACATTTGAGTGCATAAGCTAACATTTGAGTGCATACCGTGTGCTAAAGGTTAGGCTGTTTACATTTATTCAATTTGTGTAACATTAAACCTATGAGTTAGTACCATTATTAGCCTTATTTTATACCTGTGGAAGTTAAAGCTGAAGGTAAGGTAACTTGACCAGTGTTGGGCATCTAGCTAATGGTCAAGTCAGATTTTTGAACCTAGTCTATTGGAATAATAGTCTTAGGATATAATTTTTAGCGTTATTAAAGATGTGAGTAGCAATAATTTGTATCACAATTTGGAAGCCAAACTCCCTGAATCTGCTAAAATGAAGACTTGGTTCAAATATGCTTGATTGGGTTATCTAAAGAATCCATTTTGGGGGCGCTTCAGTGTTGTTGAACTCCATTGTCTGCTCTTTTCATTATTTGTGTTCTAGCTGATCATAATGTATTGCATAAAAGGTACACTTTGTTAAGGTATTTAAGAACTTTAAACATAAAGCTTGACTTACTCTCTTACATTCCTCACTGGTTGGTGAATCAGTTGGAAAAATGCATAAAGCAATTTATTTCCTCTCTTTTTACATTTCTTTTTCTGATGTTAGTAAGTGATCTAAGGTTGTAATAAAGGGATGATTGATTTGGCATTTTGAATTCTATATATAGGTTATGGCTACATCAAGCACCTGTCAGTATATTGGAGAGAGCACAGGAGTTGGAATCAGGAGGTCTGGGTTAAATTTTGGATTAACCATTTTACACTCTGTGACCATAGGCATCCAAAAATGGCAAACTAATCTCTTGTTTTCTCTCCCAAACTTGCACATCACCCAGATGTTTGAGCCCAAAACTGAGAATTTAGGACCGCGGTTTTCTTTTTTCCCCCCTTCTTCTCTCTGATCCACACCAACAACCTGTGAACAAGTACTGGTTGACTGCACTTCCAAACTAGATTCTGGGCTTCTTTTTTCTAGCTTTATTGCTACTATCTTTTCCAGGTAACCAATTATATTGAATTTCAGCCTTGTAATTTATCTCCTTGATCTCTCCCTGTTGTTCATGCTGTTCACAGCAGCCATCTTAAAACGTGAATGCGATGCTGTGACTTCCCTGATTGCGGAGCCTTCCCAATATATTTAGATTTTACTCTGGCCTTCTTACTAGATGCAGTTTGATCTGGTCCTTTCCTGCCTTTTCTACTTTATCTCACATCCTCTCCTCTCACAGTGCCTCAACTTAGTGTTCTTTCTGTCCTGAATTTGCCAAGGTTGTGTCTTCTGCCTAGAATGCTCTTCTTTCTGTGGAACCTTGAAATGTCCCTTGAATTTAACCTTAATGTTAGGGCCCAAGAACCCATTTTTGTAGTCCTTTATACTTCCTAACACATCATGTTCTGGGTTTTCCCCCTCTCCCTTTCTCCCTTGTGAACATAATTTCCAAGGGAATAGGAAACTTAATGTTTCACTTAAAGTACACTATTTCCAGTGCTGGAATAATAGTACCTGGCATGTAATAGGCACCTTGTAAATTCAGATGAATTCTAAAAGTTTAGAGTTCTCTTAATTTGAGAGAAGAGGTTATGAGATTATGAGCATTAAGTGAGATGATTTTATTTAAGGTCACCTAGCATAATTCTTAAGTTGGTACTTAAGATGTCTTTGCTATGATTTGTTGATTTCTGTTCTTCACTAGTTAGTTTTTGGGGAGCAGGCACCTCTGCCATAGTCATGTTTCCCATAAAACTAGCACAGTGCTTTGTACATAGATTTTCATTAAAAAAAGAATTCGCTGAGCTGACTATAGTCTTTGTACTGACTATGTTAAATATTAATGTTAAATGTTAAATATATTTTTCATTAAATATTATATATTAAATAGTATTAAATATGTGTCATGCTTCACATATGATTTTTGAATTCTTGGTATGGGTACTTGAATATACTTACAGATTGTGAGCAAGAATATGTATCTATTAGTAAAACAGCCTTCAGCCCTTCCTCCCTTTATTATTTCTAGTGTATATTTTCTTGGAATTTCAAAAAAAAATCATGACTTGGAGTAAAGAGGGATTTGGCAGTTGACTTTTTCTTCAGATATGCAGAAATTAAAATTAGCCTTTTAGAAATGTTTAGGGAAAGTGTTAACTAAAATGAGTCTTGTATCACTTCCAGTAATGAATCAGTAGTGTTGGACTTAGAAGGTCCAGAGTAAAGAGTTTCATAACAATACATCAATTTAGAAGATTAGAGTTTTTCTCTGCCCCCACCCCCCCTTGGGGGATTCGATATTTTTAAAACTAAACATGCATGTACTTTAGAAATCCTTTTGTTTTTGTATCCAGTGTTGTATTTTTATTGTATTTTATTTTACTATGTTTTTCTTAATTACTAAGTTCCTGTTCTTTGTAGATTGAACCTTAAATCTCTTAATTTTGCCAGCAGTAGGGCCATGGGTATTTAGGGGACAATATTCTTAACTTTTTTTAAAGTTTATTTATTTTGAGAGAGAGATGGAGAGGGAGTGGCGGAGAGAGGGAGAATCCCACGCAGGCTCTGCAGTGGCAGCACAGAGTCCAATGTGGGGCTCAAACCCACGAACCCCACCAACCTTGAGATCACGACCTGAGCTGAAATCAAGAGTCAGCTGCTTAACCAACTAAGCCACCCAGGCACCCTAGGGGACAACATTGTTGATTGACCAGTTTAATTTTATCATTTCTTTTCCTTTGTATTTCTACTTTCATTGCATTTTTTATTGGATCTTTGGTAAGATTCACAGATTTTCATATTTATGTATATTTTTTTCATTAAAAGTGGTTTATGAATTTGTTGATTTTAGGCATGTATCAATCTTGTATTCTTTAGTTTCTGGTTCCTTCATGTTTTTTTGAATGTCCTATGCACATGATTGGTAATCACTGAATGTTATTTATAAAGCTAACTTTTTCAGTATTGATAACTGCTTAATATTTTGTGCAAAATTTAAATTTATTTGTGTAGTAATAGTAAATTAGGAACAGTATTGGCTTTTATTAGATACTTGTTTCATTTACAAGTTGTTCTTTTATTGGAACGTTTGTACGTGTATTAAAATGCTTTTAGGTACAGAGCTAGGATTACTGTGATAGCTGTTCATATGAATTTTAGAAACCTGTTTCAAATGAAATTGTAGAAAGGAAGTGGCCAAAAGAGAATAAAGATTAAGATAAGTAGCAAAACATTAAACTCATACTTTAGGTAAGTTATATAGTTAAGAGCATTATGAATACTAATAACCAATAGGTGACATGTTTTGCTATTCCAAGAGTACCATATTTGGCATTATATTAGCCACTTTGAAATTTTTTTGATAGGATAGCAGCATAGCTTCTGTTTTCTAAAGCTCAAATTGCTATCATTAAAATTCAAGTATTTAAAAAGTAAAAGTGCTGTCAGTTTCATGGTGCACATCTGCATTCTGATTAAAACAAAAAAAATTTCTTAAGCGTTTATGGTCAAAAGTTTATTTCCTAAATCAGTCTCCCTTTCCCTAAAATCATTAGTGCCCTTATTGAGAGTTTATTTCACTGCCTAATATGATTGATTCATTGTTGTGAAAAGTGGGTATTTTAATTTACCATAAATCAAACTCCTTGTGTGTTTTTTTTTTTTTAATCTTTGCTAGGAATTTGAATTCAGAGTTTAATTTCTCAGAACGTTTTCTCCAGGAAGAATTTTAACAACATCTCAAAGACTTCACTTGACTGCTTAATCCTGCATAAAACCCAAGGTAAATAGCATTCATTTTTCTAGTTTTCAGTTTTAGTTTGAGAAAATGTGACTACCTAATTCATAATTCTGTCTGAGTGATTAAAAGTGATGTAGTCTGAAGCTTTTGTGGTGTTTGTTTTGGTGGCTTGAATGAAGTAAGCCAGATTTTATGTTAAGTTTTATGAGTTTTATGAGAAAACTTTTTTTTTTTATGAGAAAGATTCTCTATCTACTGCCTCTGTGTTGTGTGCCTGCTTCTACTTTTATACATCAATTTAAAGACTCAGAACACAAAGCTGTTTAAAAATAACAAAATAACTCCTTCCCTTATGCATATAAGAGAAATTCTATAACTTTTTAACACTTTTGCACTGATGTTAGTTAAAGTTGATTGTATTACTTGTGTCAACTCATTTAGTACTCAGTACAACTCTGAGGAAGGTAGTATCTTTACATATGCCTTATTTATGAGAAGATAGAGGTGACGTTTGTGTATTTGAGGATAGTTATGTTTTATTTTGAGATAAATATATATATCTGAAACCCTGAATTTGTTATTTTTAAATGTTTATTTATTTTTGAGAGAGCGCATGAGAGTGGAGTTGGGGGCAGAAAGGGGGGACAGAGGAGGATCCGAAGTGGGCTTCGTACTGACAGCAGCAAGCCCATTGTGGAACTTGAACTCACAAACCGTGAGATCGTGACCTGAGCTGAAGTTGGACACGTAACCCACTAAGCCTCCCAAGTGCCCTGTCATTTGTTTTTTGATGAAGTATATGCAGATATGATGGTTGCTTTTTCTGTAATTCAACTCAGCGTTAGCACTTATAAATATTATTTCATAATACTGAGCAGAGCCTAGGTAGGTAAAGTTAAACGCCTTCAAAAATATTGGGTTGTAAGAGAATTGGAGGCTGTTGCAAGTTTAGTGAGTCAATTTTTATGGAAACAATGATTTCGGTAATAAGTTAGTTGAAATTTGGAAATAGTTATAGCATAAACAAACTTGGGGGGGCACATATAAACTTGGGAGGTACATATATAGGTTTAATTTTGTGAGTAGATTTCCTAAATCGTTTCGTCTTATTATGATTTCTGTACCCAGTGAGGTCTGATTATTCCATTAGATATTAATGCAATATTAGAAAAAGTTAGAATACTCGTGCCCAACTTCTCTCTTTCTTGTAGTTCCACTGTCTTTTTTTGCAGCAATCTTTACAGTCCATTGACTTACCAGAAAGCTACAGGGTGAACAAGCATTGTCACATAAGTCCATTTTTCTAATGTAGTCATGCAGCATTATATGCATGGAGTGGTTAATTTAGTCCCATTTTAAGGCCATAAAGCACTTAGGATGACAGTCGCTAGGTTTATTATTATTATTATTATTTTTAGTATTATGCCACTTGTGTTTTGTTTCAGGTTCCTTATTTGTAATACTGTGATATTTATCTTTTTTACAGGAGAGGTAGGCATTTGTATTGGTCATGGAATAACCTCTAACATGCTGCTGCAGTCTGATATTACTTTCTGGCTTCTGCAGCTGCTTCCTTTTTGAATTAAGGCATGTAGGTGCTGTTGTGTCTACAATATATAGTACCTGTTATGCAGGTGAAGATATAGTTTTAGTCAGGGATAATTGTCTCAGTATTCATTTGAAAATGATGAGTAAGATCCTGGGGCGCCTGGGTGGCTCAGTCGGTTGAGCGTCAGACTTCAGCTCAGGTCATGGTCTTGCAGTTCGTGAATTCAAGCCCCGTGTCAGGCTCTGTGCTAACAAACAGCTCAGAGCCTGGAGCCTGCTTCGGATTCTGTCTCTCTCTCTTTCTCTTCCTCCCCCCCTCCCCCTTTCTCTCCCCCCTCCCCTGCTCATGCTCTGCCTCTCTCTGTCTCTCAGAAATTAATAAATGTTTAAAAAAAAAGTTAAAAAAAAAAAGAAACAATGATGAGTAAGATCCTTAGAGAAACTTGTGCCTTGTAAAATTCAATTTGTCTTATGTGAAACTTCTTTAATTGAATGGTAGTTTTTTTTTGTTTTTTTGTTTTTTTTACTTTTTTGCTCTCTTATTGACTAGGAGAAAAGAAATGGGTCGCTCCAATTCTAGATCACATTCTTCGAGATCAAAGTCTAGATCACAGTCTAGTTCTCGATCAAGATCAAGATCACATTCTAGAAAGAAGAGATACAGGTGAATTCCTGTGTTTTTAATTCTTTTAATAATGATAGTGGTATTGGTTGCTGTTCATGGAGTGCTTGCTATATTTAGACACAATGCTTAAGTCATTAATATATTCTCAAATAACCCTGGGAAATGAATCCATCTACCTTCATTGTAGAGTTGGGGAAATTGAGAATTGTTTAGGTTGCAAGCTAGTAAATGGCAGAGCTTAGGTTTGATTTCAGTTAGTCTGACTTCAGATCTCAGATTCTTATTATACTGTACATGTATGGTAGATTTCTTTGAATTTACATTAAGAGATGAATAATGGGAGAACTATTTGACAGTAAATCATCTTTGCATATTATTTCATAGTTTCTCATTATTTCTGATTCTGATGTCTCAATATTATGTGTGCATTTGGCCAGTAGTATGTCATTGATGAGTATTTTTCCATGCCATTAAATACTCTTTTACTGTTTTACTATAAGTACCTGAATAACTTTTCTGTAATTTGTTTAGTATGTCCTGCTGTTAGGTATATCCATTTTTTCCCTTTTTTGTGTGCCTTCATTCCTAAGGCCTTTACTTTATTCTTTCAGTATTTACCTTAGTAATGAAACTTTGTTCATTGAAAACAGTAAACTTTACTTTTGTATAAATGAGAGGGTTTTTTTTTTTTTTTCATATACATTTTTGGTTTGGACTATTTACATGTTATTTTCAACCAGAAGTATTAGAACGGTAGAATAGAATCGTTTGTTTTTCTTACATTGATATTTATTTCATTTTTAGTTCTAGGTCTCGTTCCAGGACATACTCAAGATCTCGTAGTAGAGATCGTATTTATTCTAGAGATTATCGTCGAGATTACAGAAATAATAGAGGAATGAGACGACCTTATGGGTACAGAGGAAGGGGCAGAGGGTATTATCAAGGAGGAGGAGGTAGATACCATCGAGGTGGTTATAGACCTGTCTGGAATAGAAGACACTCTAGGAGTCCTAGACGAGGTCGTTCACGTTCCAGGAGTCCAAAAAGAAGATCCGTTTCTTCTCAAAGATCCCGAAGCAGATCTCGCCGGTCATATAGATCTTCTAGGTCTCCAAGATCATCCTCTTCTCGTTCTTCATCCCCATATAGCAAATCTCCTGTCTCTAAAAGACGAGGGTCTCAGGAAAAACAAACCAAAAAAGCTGAAGGGGAGCCCCAAGAAGAGAGTCCTTTGAAAAGTAAATCACAGGAGGAACCGAAAGATACATTTGAACATGATCCATCTGAATCTATTGATGAGTTTAACAAATCATCAGCCACATCTGGTGATATTTGGCCTGGCCTTTCAGCCTATGATAACAGTCCCAGATCTCCTCATAGTCCTTCACCGATCGCTACACCACCTAGTCAGAGTTCGTCTTGCTCTGATGCCCCCATGCTCAGTACAGTTCACTCTGCAAAAAACACCCCCTCTCAGCATTCACATTCCATTCAGCATAGTCCTGAAAGATCTGGGTCTGGTTCTGTTGGAAATGGATCTAGTCGGTACAGTCCTTCTCAGAATAGTCCAATTCATCATATCCCTTCACGAAGAAGCCCTGCAAAGACAATCACACCACAGAATGCTCCAAGAGATGAGGCTAGGGGACGTTCTTCATTTTATCCTGATGGTGGAGATCAGGAAACTGCAAAGACAGGAAAATTCTTGAAAAGGTAAACGCTAAAGTCTTTAGATTATAAAATTAATAGTTGTGTTCTTTGTATTCTGTTTGGGTATATAAGACTTGTATTGTTTTTACTCCTGACTTTTTTATAATTCCAAGTGGTTTTTACTACATTTGGTTAACTGTGGAAATTAAGTGTTTTAATAGAAGCTAATTTATATTTCTTTTCAATTTTAATCCATTTTTAGTCAGTCTAGAATTAATGTAAACAAAAAAATGTAGTAACATAAAGCATAACTAATAGTTATGTTGTAACAACTTAATTTTGTGTTAGAGCATTGAAAGCTTATTTTGTTTTCTTCACCATTATAACGTGGCCTATGTGAATAATAGATACAGTATGTGCTCTTACTTTTGTGGTATTCTACATGCAACTGGCAATTCTTAATAAATCTGACTATAGAAAAGCTAATTATTTCTTGCTCTAGTAACCTTTGAAATATACTTTGTTTAAATTCTGATTTCAAGCATTGCTGAAGAGTTGCTAAAAAACTCAGTGAAAATTGGTTGCTAAATGTAGTTTGAGAAAATAGAACAGGCATGCTATTTATGGCATATTGCTGTATAACCTAGAATAAAATTTTTTATTGAACTAATACAGTTTCTACTTAGTATTGCCAGAAATCATTTTCTGCAGCAGAGTAGATGTGAAATATTTTGTGATTTCACTTAGAGTATTAAATAATATTACTAAGTTTACTTTTGTGAATTCATTTATTTTAGTAGGGAAGTGTAATAGTCTGAAATTTTGAGTATAATTATATGTAGAGTTCTGATAGATAGGTACATTGTTTATTAGTGGTTCTTAGCCTCAAAAATTAAAGTGTTGCATGTTATAGAATTTCTGGAATTGGATTTGTTCGTGCAGAATTGTGGCTATGACTAGAACAGGTTTTTGAGAGTGCTGTATGGCTGCTTTTAATGTTTTTTTAAAAGAATTATGAAAAACAGTTTTCGGTGGTTTTTTTTCTCTTATTACTGGTCCTGCGATGTTGGGCAACATGTAGAAGTATACAAGTGATCCACAGTGAATGCAATCCAGAGTTACCATCCTCTTCTCTGCTTATTCACAGGTTCACAGATGAAGAGTCTAGAGTATTCCTGCTTGATAGGGGTAATACCAGGGATAAAGAGGCTCCAAAGGAGAAAGGATCAGAGAAAGGGAGGGCAGAGGGAGAATGGGAAGATC